ACTGCAAAATCTCCATTCCCTCCCCACTCCTGGGGGAAGGATGTTGCAAAATCCCCATTCCCTCCCCACTCCTGGGGGAAGGATATTGCAAAATCCCCATTCCCTCCCCACTTTGGGGCCAGCCAGAGGTGGTATTTGCCTGTTCTCTGAAGTACTCAAAATTTCCACTACCGGTTCTCCAGAACCTGTCAGAACCTGCTGGATTTCACCCTTTCTTTTAACTCTACATAATACAGAACAGAATACCAGAATGCAAAGTAAGAAACTTGGAATGGACCTTGGAATCCAACCCCATGCAGGAGATATTTACCCTTTGGAATAAATGGCTGTCTAATCTCTTCTTAAAAACTTCCGGTGATGGAGCACCCACATCTTTTGGAGGCAATTTGTTCCACTGATTAATTGTTCTCACTATCATATAATTTCTCCTTAATTCCAGGTTGGGTTTCAATTTACTTTGGGTTCTCTTTGAAAATTGCATGAATGTTCTTGGGGAATTGCCCTTCTTTGGAAGAGGCGTGGCACATAAGTGTTTAGCGTTCACTTCAAGTTTCGGCTACCAAACTTCATGGGAGCTCTGTATTTCTCTTTTACTGGAATGATTCATTGCTAGTTTTCCATTTTGGTCAGCTGAGCACAGGAGCAGAGAGAGTGAGATCTAGGCCCAGGGGTCAATTTGAGAAGATTGACTATCCGTGGTGCTTTTCAATGTGCTTTTCAAATGCTCAGTGGCATTTTCTCTTCGATTGTTCTTTGAAGATTCGAGCATGGAGCTCTGTGGTTCAAGTATTACTTTAATGACCTCCAGCACCTTCCTCTCCCTTTCTTTCTTATTTCAATTGGGCCCACATTTCCATTCCGTGCTTCCTTGGGGCAGAACGTCTTGTTCTCATTTGTAGTTTTTAACAGTATTTTTATTTTATAGCCAATGACCAGCTTGCACTCTATAAAACACCATGAGTGCTAAGAGCTCTATATAATTGCATCCAGTCATTAAGCCATGATGAGCTCTATCCTAAATTAGGCCTAGTCCATCAATTTCACATGCTTTGGAGAAAAAAAATCAAAGTGGCTGAAACTCAATTCCCATTCTTTAGAGGTAGCAGGAAAGAAAACCATTTTTAATCCATGATTTTAAGAAAATGTTAGTCTCCATCAAGTTGAGCTTGACTGCTAGACAATTACAGAAGGGAATTTGGGCAACACTTGGAAGGGTTTGGTCCCTGCCATAATCCAGAATGTTTTTCTACTTTCAATCTATTCTATAGTCTGGATTCCTAGTAGAACCCAGAAAATTGGTTAATCCTGCTGCAACTGTCCTTGAAGTAAAGGTAAAGGTTCCCCTCGCACATATGTGCTAATTATTCCTGACTCTATGGGGCGGTACTCATCTCCATTTCAAAGCCAAAGAGCCAGCACTATCTAAAGACATCTCTGTGGTCATGTGGCCGGCATGACTAAAGGCAGAAGGCGCACGGAGCACTGTTACCTTCCCACCAAAGGTGGTCCCTATTTTTCTACTTGCACTTTTACATGCTTTTGAACTGCAAAGGTGGCAGAAGCTGGGACAAGTAATGGAAGCTCACTCCATTACATGGCACTAAGGATTCGAACCGCTGAACTGCTGACTTTTCTGATTGACAAGCTCAGTGTCTTAGCCACTGAGCCACCATATATCCCATATGCTCCTTTTCTTTAAACAGGTTTCTGCTATGGTGATTTGTGGACCCCCTTTCTGAGTGATTTGATTTCTTAAGACCATTAAAGGGTAGGCATGAGGCCCAAGGAACCAAGAATGACATGAGGAGTTACTTCTAATTAGTTTTTTTTCTATTGCTGCTCTCCTATAGACAGAATCTTGCAAAACTAAAGTACTTATCTGTACAACTACTACAAATACCATGTAAACTACTTTGGGAGTGGAGGGGTCACCTTTGCCTTTTTCCTACATATCAAAGTTTCCAAACTTCTTTGTCTCTTTGCTCCCTGGGAAAGAGCCCTTCTGTCAGGCACAAAAAATCAGGATCGTTCATAAGGTTGTAGCCTAGAAGATTTATTCAAGCCTATACACAAGAATCTGGACAGCTAAGGTTCAACATTAAATTGCTGCCAGATAAGGGCCAATGGCATTCAGGAGGGTTTGGGTCTCTTGTGGAAATGCAAGAACTCTAAACTGATGATGCACTTAACTCCATCCTCCAGCTCTACCTACTCTCCTCTTACACTCTCCTTCCTGCAACTCTGAACTAGATTTTACTACATCAGAACAATTAAATCACTGCTAAGTGACCTCTCCAATTCATAGTACTTGCTAAAATGAGTATATTGCTGATCCTAATTAAAACCACCTCATAACAATAATTCTCAATTGTGCCAACTATCAACATATTACCTTCTGTAAGTAGGCAAAGTTAAGAAATAGTGACTGCAAGGATTCCATGAATGCTACTCTATCATTGTAGGATATCTAAACAGGATCTTGGAACTTTTTTGTTTCACAAAATTCTAACATCCTTTACAGGTAAAGGTTCCCCTCGCATATATATGCTAGACATTCCTGACTCTAAGGGGTGGTGCTCATCTCCATTTCAAAGCCAAAGAGCCAGTGCTATCCAAAGACATCTCTGTGGTCATGTGGCCTGCATCATTAAAAGCTAAAGGTGCACAGAATGCTGTTACCTTCCCATCAAAGTTGCTTCTTATTTTTCTACTTGCATTTTACATGCTTTTGAACTTCTAGGTTGGCAGAAGCTGGGATAAGTCATGGGAGCTCATTCCATCATGCGGTGCTAGGATTTGAACTGCCAAACTGCCGAACTTTCTGATCGACAAACTCAGTGTCTTAGCCACTGAGCCACCACATCCCTCCTTTACAGCTACCTCCTTTTAATGACAGAAGTTTTGGAAGGACTGGGGCTCAGAGCCACAAGCCAAAAAACAGAAGCAGCAAAGACACTGCTGTTTTAACAAAGGGAGAGGGGAAAGAGAGCCGGTGCTAATGAGGGAGGGCAGAAGGTCCAGAATTTGGGCCCAGAGACGCCAAGTGAAAAACTGGCTCATACAGGTAGTCCCTGAAGTTATGACTACAACTGGGACCTGATTTGCAGATGTAACCCATGATGCTCACAAGTAAGCCACCTACATGACTGGATCTGATTTTATGACCATTTTACTAGCAGTCATAAAGCGACTGCTGCCAAAAGTCTGAATCCATTCCCCCAAATGGATATGCTTTTCCAGAAATTGGCAAAAAAAAAACCAACCCAAAACCCACAGGAAACCAGCAAGAAATGTTGCCAATTATCAACCTGGGACAACTATGGTGGAACCAATAGTAATTGTGAGCTGGTTGTCAAGCACCCAAAATGCAGTCATGTAATCACAGGGAGTGGACACCATGTTTTACAACAGCCAGAAGTGCTTGATGGGCTGTATACCCAAGGCTGCCAAGGCTGTTCTAACTCTGAATGGTCATTAAATGATTGGTCATAAGTCAAGGACTACCTGTAGTTTTCTCCCTCCTAAATTCACATCCATTCAATTTTCGGAATTTGCAAATACAGAGAGTTTAGATAATTTTTTCAGTTGCCCCTCATTCTCTTTGTGCAGCTGGCATCTTAATAAATAGCACAGCTCTGCTTTCATTCATTTAAAGCCAAACATTTTTCCAAGGAAGTTCCTGGCTTCAATTTTGTGTCTGCCTGTAAGGGTATGTGTGCATGTTCATGTACAAACTGGTACAATGGCCTGCAGCTATAGAAGAGAGGCACCCATCTGAATTTAAGCTGCATTTAAGATGTGCAAAGGCGAATACCCACCATGTGCCAAGAAATCAGTCTTTATCGGGGATCTGAACTGCACGGGCACTGATTTCACTCATTAATAGTAGAATTGACTTGCTCTGGACAGCACCCTCAGAGCAATCAATCTTTGGCCTGTTAAGACATTGGGCTCTCTGGGTCCCTGATCTCTCCCCACTGCCACTGTAACTCCCTTACCTTCTTGAAACGCTGGCAGCTTCCGTCCTCTGCAGCTCTCAAAGAAAATACCCAGCAGGTACAGAGCGGAAAACAGGGCCCTCCACATTGTCGGTCACGGTCTGTGATCTTGTACCTAAGGAAGGAGATTCCATTGCATTGAGAAGATCGATGTACCAGAACAGCTGAATCAGGATATGCCATGAATAGAACAATAATCTCCCTTTTTGCATGCAATTATCCCAGATCAATGACAACAAAGATTATACTTATCTTTCCCCACCCAGGTAAGCAACATCGATTAGTAGCCTTTAGGAGAATTTTCTTAGGGCAAAACAGGAGAATCCATTAACTGAACAAATACATCTAGTTGCCCTGACTCAGTTTTCACACAATTGTACCTGGATGAGTGAGAATCTTCACTGAGATACTGGCACAGATTTGGGGAAAAAACCTTGAGATTGGTGCAGGAATACCCTTAAGAATTGTTGATTTGTAGACCCCCTTTCTGTGTGATTTGATTTCCTAAGACCATTAAAGGGCAGGTGTGAGGCCCAAGGAATCAAGAATGACATGAGGAGTTCTATTTTTTTTTTCTATTGCTGCTTGCCTATAGACTGAATCATGCCAAACTAAAGTACTTAACTGTACAACTACTACAAATACCATGCAAACTACTTTTTTGGGAGGGTTCACCTTTGCCCTTTTCCTGCATATCAACGTTTCCAAACTTCTTTATCGCTTTGCTCCCTGGGAAGGAGCCCTTCTGTCAGGCACAAAGAATTAGGATCATTCATAAGGTTGTAGCCTAGAAGATTTATTCAAGCCTAT